AGTAACCATGCTTAATCCACCCAGTAACCATGCTTAATGCACCCAGGAACCATGCTTAATGCTCCAGTAACCATGCTTAATACACCTAGTATCTATGCACTTATCCACCCAGTATCCGTGCTTATCACCCTCAGTAACCATGCTTAATCCACCCAGTAACCATGCTTAATCCACCCAGTAACCATGCTTAATCCACCCAGTAACCATGCTTAATCCACCCAGTAACCATGCTTAATGCCCCAGTAACCATGCTTAATCCACCCAGTATCTATGCACTTATCCACCCAGTATCCGTGCCTATCACCCTCAGTAACCATGCTTAATCCATCGAGTAACCATGCTTCATCCACCCAATATCCGTGCTTATCAACCTCAGTAACCATGCGTAATTCCCCACAGTAATCATGTTTAATTAGAAACCATGTTGAATTCCCTCCAGTAGCTAACATTGACCTTATCTATCTATTTATCTATCTAGAGCTAATGTTTGACGTATTCAGCAGCCATGGTCAGCGTGTAGATTTGCATGGTCATGCTATTGGTCGAGAGTAGATCGAGAGTGGATTTATTAGCGTGTGTGCGGCCAGAGCGAGCTATGCATTATTTAGCGAGGTCATAACGCGGGCCAGCATCAGCGCGTATATAGGCAGTTAGCTTCTCGTTCCCCAAATCTCCACGTCTCGCGTACAAGCAATAGAATTTCCACATCGCCATATATTATATAGCATGTATATATACGCAACGTCGACCAGGGGGCAATTGTAGGCAGATTCCTTTCGGCTGTGAAGACGCGGTTATATTGGCGCTCGGGCGGTTTAACGCGTGCTATCCGTTTAAAGTTCGACTCTATCCGATGTATTTTTAAAAGCTTTTCAATCGCGGATGGCAAGTCGTAGCAAAATTTTGTCGAAATCGTCGTTTAATGGCGTCGTCGCCACAGCGAAGTCTTTGTGAAGGTCGAAACGAACGCGAGCCCGGAAAAAAATTCCAGCGCGTGACGTAAGCGGGCGGAACACGTCACGTGACATTACATTCGTTCACGACAGGAAATTAGCGCGGGAAATAAGAACGTAATTTTACCGGGAAAGTCTTTCGGTGAAATAACGCCCCCCCCCCGACAAAAAAATCTATATAATTATATCTTAGCCATTACTCACTTCCTTCCGTTAACTATAAATAGTAGGAATGGCTTTCCGCTAGTGGTTGTCGAATGATCGTGACAACTGTTTCAACTTCGTACTTGCCACGTGCGTGCATGTACCAGCAATGTACGGCCCTGTAAGTCATGGCTACATGTATACCGTTTACCATCTATAAATATGTATAACGCTAACTACCGAAATCGGCCCGATGCCATAAACTATGCGTGAACGTGACGAGTGTGCGGGGAGTGGGGGCGTGGCAGGGCGATACCGGGCGCGCTGAGGGGCGTGGTCGACCACGCCCCCGAGAGACGAGCTGCCCGGCTGACTACTCATCGTTTCAGGCTGCTAGAGCACTACAATCCCATGTTCACCGATATCGACTCGTCAATGCCAAATGTCAAGCGCAAGTTCACGCTCTCTCAGGTATAGCCATAGCTTAACGCCGCCCGGTAGCTTGCTAAGGTAGCGGGGATAGACGCGTCGTGACGAGGCTTTGTACACACATGTTGCAGGCCGCCGCAACATAACCCGTTCTACACTAGCATCGACTCAATGCCCGACATACGGCCGCGCCGGAAGAGCATACCGTTGGTCAGCGAATTGGTACGCTGCATGTCCACCACGATGCTACTGTGTGTACATGATGAGGCAGCGACGTCGTCGGCTCACCGGTTTCCTTCTGCTTGCCGTCGTCGTCTCTTGTTGTTCGTGTTCGTTCGCATTTTCTTCCTGTGTCTGGACATGACTGCTGCTATAAGCATCTGCATTCGATGTTGACACGCGCGCGTGTGCGCGTCGTCGGCTGCAGTGCGGCCGCTAGGGGGCGGGAAGGTGCTGCCCCGCGCCAGGCGAATCCAATCGATTCTGAGCCGAGAGCGATCCCAACGAAAATAAGGCGAGGGGAGGGTGCGAGAGGGGGAATCTTCGTCGGGGTCCGAGAAAAGGGGGAGGGGATGATGTGGTTTAGGGGGTGAATCTCTGTTTTTTGTGGGTCTCTTCTTCTCGTGCTCACCCCCCCCCCCTCCGCCGCGTGGGTTGTTTGTTGCTTGCGCATGCGCCGTGCGTGCGCGGGATCGATTGGTGCGGCCTGGCGCGGGTATTAACTCAGCTGTTTGTGGTTACAGGTTTGTACGCCCGTCTCTTCACAGAGCGGGCGCTCTCTGTGTCTGGCATGCAGCCAATTCCCACGGATGTGTGCAGCCGCCGCATGTTACATTAAGAGGGAACGGGGGGCGGGGGTCAGGCGGGGGGGG